TTCTTAAAATTCGATTGATATTTTTGTTTCTATTTGAAAAAGGTTTAAAAGAGAATATAATATAGTACCAAAAAAAAGCTATAGTTTATCATAAATAATTACACTATTGACAGATGCCTTATTTCCTTTTCCATAAAAGAGCCGACCCTGAATTTACGGTATAAGTTCAATTACATTTCTTCTTCCATACAAGTGAGTAACATATACACATAGCTAGCACCAACTGATCAACTATAATGTCTTACGTTCCGCCACACAAAAGGCAAACAAAGGGCTCCCCGTCATTGAATCCAACTCCGGCACCGGAGTCTCTCAGCAGATCTGTTTTCAACAAGAGAAAGGACAACAAATTTCGCACTCGGAATCTCGGTTACACTGATCATACTATCTTAAAATGGTTCTCTGTTGGCTTAGCTGATGAGTTGAGATTTTCATCTCTGGTTAGTTTCCAATCTCTTTCACCAGAGTCCTTTGAGACAAAAGCAGGCCTACAGCCTCTCTCTTTGGTTTCAACTCATCAAGGTACTATATATATATGTATATATAATTTAACCCGATCATCGTTTTCGATACCCAAAATGTTAGGGCGTGAATTATTATTTTTTTGGCAAATGCTTCATCAGTGGTTTCTAGCTAGTTTTGTACCTGTATAGTGTTTTCAACTTCTTCAACGTGACCTTGTAAGGATGAATTCAATTTTGGTGTGTCTAATATCTGAGAAAACCTTGGAAAAATTAATTTTCCTAAAGGAGGTAAAGGGTATATAGAAACAACATTTTTTTCAGATGATTTTTCTATTTTTATGTTGCTTTAATTGATACAATTGTTGGCTTTTTTATATAAAATATTGCAGCAAAAATGATTGGAAATATAGATTAAAGCGTCTCTCGATAATTTTATTGAGCAAGGGATCAAATTGAATGATTTAAATTTTTATAAAAAAATGCAGCATAATTTATTTTTTAATTGTGGATTTCTGTTTCTGCGATGTTACTTAACCGTGGGGGGCTGACCCACGTGTTGAATATTGTTGTTTGAGACGACGGGCGCTATTGATTCCTCACAACTTGGATTTTATTATATCAAAGTAAGGATCCGCTTCGATCTTACAATCTTGATCACTATCTTGTTGCTTGCTTCAGCAACACTCTTTACCTGAGCACTCACTCTTGTTTTATTGCTTACTTTCTTGGTTTGTTACTTACTTAGTTTCTTGCTTGGTTACTTACAACTCAAATGGACAACCTCTATTTATAGGAGGTGATGGAACAATCTAGCTACGCATATTTTTCTATCCTATTCTAGAATATTCCTCCAACTACTTAATTCTAGAGCTACCCTATCCAGAACATTTCTAGACTATTCTCTCTAGAATTTCTAGAGATCTTCCTTCAATTTCTCTATAACTCTGGAATATTCTAGACTTTTCTTGACTAGGTTGGTCATGAATTCTTAACACTCCCCCTCAACACCAACTTAATTTTTCCTTTGCGTCCGTTGTGAGTGATTCTTGCTCTGCAAGCATCATGACGTCCATGCCCTTTGAGGATTTCCTCCTTCATCGGATTATTCCGATCCCTACTCTTTGAAACTTCTTCAAAGGTAGTAGTATCTTTATTGTTAACCACCTCTGCTAATGTTGCATCTACATACTTGGCATTTGAGCATTTCAATTGTGTCTTCCTTGTTTTACTTCATTGAGCTTATCTTGCAACTTTTGCTCAAGAGGTATTGAACCTGGCAGGGTGACTTTTTCAGACCACCATGATGATGCTTCATCAAATACCACATAAGTTGTTTCGGCTGGAATGACATAGATTGAATCTAATCTTCTTCCCTCCATGATTGGAGAGCTTGTTACTTTTAAGCTTTGATATACCTTTACGTCATTTGATTCGAACACACCATAGTTTCCTGAAGTTGTTAGTTGTGACACAGAAAATAAGTTCTTCTTCATACCTGGAACATGGTAGACATTTTGAAGTTCCACTTGTCTTGAGTTGTGATGAGGCACGAACACCGTCTTGCCAATATGAGTTATTGGCATTTTCGAATTATTTGCAGTCACCACTATTCAACCGCCTTTATATTCGCTCATGTTAATGAGCCTTTTCTCATCACCGGTCATGTGATTGGAACACCCTGAATCAACGATCCAATCATGTTCATAATCGACCAACTTCTCACTTACAGTTGTAAGTGCAATCTCCTCTTCTTTGTTAGAGTGACAGGTGACAAGCTCCTCTTGTTGGTTAGTTTCTTTAACTGCATAAGTGGTTTCGAAATCCCAAGTCTCTTCTTCATCTTTCTTGTTTTGAATAGAAGTAGCTACATTACCTTCAGATTTCTTGTACCAGCAGTCTCTAGCATAGTGTCCTTTCTTTCCACAATTGTAGCACTTCTCCATTTGTCAATTGTTAAAGCCTTTTGCCTGCTTGTTTTGTCGTTGACTTCTTTGATGTTGATTCTTTTGGTCTCTTCTTGGCCGTGAGCTTCTCTCCACTTCTCTTTTTTTATCGTCGTGTCTTCTGGTGAATAGCGCCTTATCTTCATCTTTTATAGTGAAACTTGATAATGGCTTCTTCAAATCTTCTTCATTTGCCAACAGATTTTCCAACTCAAATAAAGTTGGTTTTGTGGCTATAATTATGCCTTTGTACTTCGACCTTAGACCATGAACAATAATTCTCCTCATTCTTATCTCCGTGATAGCATTCTCAGGATCTAATTTTCATATTTCATCACATAAAGATTTTACTTTTGAGAAGTATTGACTGATCGTCATATTCCGTTGGGAGATCGACAAAAGCTCATTTTCAAGCCTTTGTAATCTTGCATCATTCTTCTTTGTAAAAATAGTTGCCAACGTGTCCTAAGCTTATTTGGGTGTTTTGGCATTCTTAATCCGTTGTAGGAACTCATCCTCGATTGTTACAGTGAGAGCATACATGACCTTCCACCTTTTTGCTGCTTCAACATTTGTTGGTGGTGTAGTGTCTGCTCGATCGATGATATCCCATAATTCCTGGGCTAGAAAGTAATATTGTATTCTCGTGCTCCATGATCCGTAGTTGCTTGCGTTGAGCTTCTCAACGCTATTGAGAGTACTTGCGAAATCCTCCATTGATTAGTGCCTCACGATTTGTAGCCTCCGACGGTAGCTTGTAGGATCTCATTTGAGTTACTACCTCGTTCTTATCCACCAGGCTCTGATACCACTTGTTGAATATTGTTGTTTGAGACGACGGACACTTTTGATTTCTCACAACTTGTATTTTATTATATCAAAGTAAGGACCCGCTTCGGTCATACAATCTTGATCACTAACTTGTTGCTTGCTTCAACAATACTCTTTACTTGAGCACTCACTCTTGTTTTCTTTCTTACTTTCTTGGTTTGTTACTTACTTAGTTTCTTGCTTGGTTACTTACAACTCAAATGGACCACCTCTATTTATAGGAGGTGATGGAACAATCTAGCTAAGCATATTTTTCTACCCTATTCTAGAATATTCCTCCAACTACTTAATTCTAGAACTACCTTATCTAGAACATTTCTAGACTATTCTCAATAGAATACTCATTCTAGAGATCTTCCTTCAATTTCTCTATAACTCCGGAATATTCTAGACTTTTCTTGACTTATCTTTTAAGTAAATAATTAAGCTGGTGATGAATTCTTAACACCATGTGTCTCTGTGAGGATGCACGTGCACTCGTTAACTTCAAATAATTATGTATATAATATACCTTGAGATAGACATATATTTTATTAATTAGGCACCCAAAGAGACTTAAACTAATTTGGTATATTGGTTTAAACGTTGCACACCTCTGAGGTGAGGGACTAGGCTCAAATCCCATTTACTAGGAATGGCTAGTTTCGAAGTTGTGACCTCACGGTGCAAATTGAAGTTCAAAACCACCACTCTACAAAGCAAATTTTATCTAGTAGAGTCATTTAATTCATGTTTATATGTTAGTATATTATAATTAGTTTTATATTTTTATGTTTAGTAAAATTATCATACACTAACGTGCATTAGCCGACGTTAGTGGTGCACTCATTGTCTTCAGATCATGGGTTTCGCCTTTGCTTTATTGATGCACATTAAGCTATATATCTATAAAAGAAATTGCAGGTTGCAATGAAGGAATAAAGAATGAGCTTATAGATACACCATGGCTTTTGATTGCTGCAAATGTGAAGAAGGATTTGCTTTTGTCATTTCAACATATGAAGCGTGAGATGGAGGAAGCTGATATGGCACAAGTAAAATCGTCTGTAGTTGCTCGTTTTGGAACAGTTCTCTTTTATGGGTCAGTCGATCTTCTTCATTTAGTTCACATATTAAATACCTCATATATCATGCTGATTACTTTGTTGTGTTTGAAGCATTATTTTGTTAGGTTATTCGTATACAAATGTTTGTTTCAAAATACTTGTCATGTTATTTGTGATGCAGGATATCTTCAATTTGTAAAGATAGCCTAAAACTAAACTCATTGACTGAAACTACTTTGAGAAAAATGAAAGGATCTTTCCATACGGATGTTCCTCCTTCATATATGGATTATGTAGAAAATCGAGTAGTGGAGAATCTCGGACTAGAATATTGGCAAGGGAAAGAACTGTACTATGTTAAGGTATATGCTACTTTCAAGCTTCTAAAAAATGTCTTCATCCTACTGTATTCTTTCTTTATCCGTGTGTTTTGTAGCTTTCCGATAACTTGAGGACAGAATCAACTGTTTCCTGCAAATGTATTGTGGCAAAAGATCATAATAAGATTCAGCTCTATAAGGTTAGTACTGTAAACCTTTTATGCCTTCAATTTCGCATAACTATCATTAACATATTTATACTTATCTCCTTTTTTAAAAAAGATTGAGTTGAACTGAGTACGCCACATGGTTGCAGACATGAGCTGTCTTGGAAAGAGCTCAGACCTCAGATTGTTTGTATATACCAAGAAAATCAAGATGGTTTTATCTGTAAGTTATTTACTACATTCAAATACAGAGATGTTCGTTATAGGCTCAAGATGTTAAATATTTTATATCAAAAGCTCTCTTTGATCCTCTATATATAAGGATTGAACTCTTATTTGGGTGTTTACAGTAGTATTACGTCTTTCTATGAGTATTGTTCTTTAGATAATTATTCACATTTTTTAGGATGAGGAGAATAATGAAATTAAGGATCTTATTAGTTCTGCCATTTTGGACTCAGAAGTATCGGGTGGTTTAAGATGGCCTTTAGACAAGCGTCGTTCTTCAGGGGGTCGATATGTTGTTAATGTTATTGGTCACACAACTGCAAAATCATATAGGAATTCATCAATTAGGTTTAAGTTTCGACATGCAAATCGATCTAAATTCAAATCTTCAACTGGTGAGGTTACACAGGAGATTTTCCTGAAAATGCCTGGAATTGTATCAGAGTTACGTGTAAGTTCTCTTTTCCTGATGACAAGCAATTGCATTTCTCATTTTATTTTATGTTTTCCAATTTTGGATTTCTCTGCATGATACATCAACGTTGGTTGGTGTTGGTCGAAACCATAGCATAGTATTCTTAGCATAAGCATTGACTTGACTTGATTTGATTTGATTTTCATTCTCTTATCAAAAATGCAGAAGCAAACAATGGACGAAGATCTGGTGTTTGAAATGCTGAAAAACAACTTGAAGTTAATTTGGGATCTTTGTCTGTTAGATGGCTCGAACTCACAGTCTTAGAGTTAGAAGTGAAGGGTGTTTGTCGTCCGAGCAACTTCATCTGTAATTAGCTTTGTTGTTAACCTGTAATGAATAGAACATCTTACTTGAGTTGTCACATTTCGTTTTACATGTGATGTTCTGACACTAATAACTCATTGAACAGTTAAAAACCTAAGCTGCTCGGATCCTTCAAAAATACACTACTTTTGAAGGAACTGTCACACACCCGATGATATTTTGTAAACTGAACCTCAAATTCTTAAAAATAGGCAAAATTCAAGGAAGGACCAATAGTGCATCAATATTGCAAACATGAGAGATTATTAGTGTTTCATGTGAAAACTCAAGGATAACTTAAGTTTAACCTTTAGACAAGTGACTATTTTGGGTCTCAATATTCATGTAGCCTTTTGGACCCACTCAAACTTTAAAAAGCAATGCCATCTAAGTTTAAATTTTCAAAATATATTACTCCCTACATTTCATGTTAATTGAATTATTGAGGCATTTTTCATTTTCCAAATTGATTAATTGTTCAATCTTCAAGACTATTTTTAAAATATTCTTCCAATTTTTACCCTTCAATTTTGAAATTTTCAATGTGATGACTTCAATAAATTTAATTAATGTTTAGTTATTTTAATTATTAAATTTGACAATAATTAATAAGGATACAAATAGAAAAACTATGTTCAATTTATGTCTTAATCTACTTTTCTTAAAGAGTGTGAAACACCTCAAAAAATCAATTAATATGAAATGGAGGGAGTATTAAGATTAATTTAATAAAATAAATTTAATTAGTCTTGTAAAAATTAATAGTATAATCCTTTTTTTGAGTAAAGATTTTTTTAATAGAGTAAAGTAAAATTATTTGACAGAAAAAGATAGAAAAATAATCTACAATTACTTTTATTAAAATGAATTTTTTTGTAAGTGTTATTGTATCTCACGAGACACTATCGGAAGAATTATATTGTTAATAATAATACATATAAATTTTAAAAAGAATTTTAAAATGATTTTAGTTGACGCAATTTGCAAATGAGACAAAATTTTTGTTGAACTATAACTTTTAAGTAATTGTTTGGAACAACAAAAAATATTGAAAAAACTTTAAATAAAAAAGCTTTATATTTTGAATATTTAGCATAGTATTATTGGTCATGTGCACGGCACGAATTGTCAATATACTAATATTGCTAGAAATGTCGGTTTAAATATTAGTTTTAAGTGAAAATTTCATATCTGACATATATTAGACTAATATTTTCAAGTTATAGCAGTAGAATTAAATTTTCAAGTTGTAACAATAAAAATTTCAGGTTGTAACAGTTTCTTAAAAAAAAAACTTTTTTTAAATAATTGTAAATATAAAAAGATAAAAAAATAAAATAATTCGTTTCTAAAAAATAAAGGTAAAATAACGAAAATAAGTGTGTTAATTAAATTTGAATTGATTGAAGATAATTACTAATTAGCATAAATTAAGGAAATTCAAACTAATTAAGAATATTTAGTTTCCTTATTTCACTCTAATTTGTTAAAATTAATTAAAAATTCTAATTTCATTCATTTTCTTCCACGTTTCTCTCTCTTCGATTTTTTTCCAGAAATCTTGTCACTCTCATCTAATTCATATTCGTTTTTATTCAATAATCTTTATTTTCTGAACGGCTTCTTATTAGTATTAATAAAACATGGTGGTAGATGGGATCCTTTAGGTTAGTGTTCTTTTGCGATTTTTTATTTGTATTGTAATACAAACCAAACGTTCTAAAAAATTATGAACAGTGATTCTGAAAAAAATATATTCAGATTTTGTTTGTGAATAATAGTTTTAATTATGACATTTTTGGTATGAATATTCACTTTTGAAATTACATAAAATTTGTTTGAAATTGGTATAGATTTTTGTTTGAACATTCATTTTTTTGTATGTTTTTGGTTAAAAAATTACATAAAATTTATTTGAATTTGGTATATTGGTTATACCATGTTGGTACGATTTTAGAATTATATTTGAATGAATTTCGTATACTATTTGTCTAATAAATGACAATTAATAGTTAAAAGTGGTATTATTTTGGTATTATAGTGGCATG